AAATTCCAGTATCAGCAACATTCGAGTCACCTTAAATTATGTTTGAATTCTTTACAAATTGTTGTTACAAATTAGCAAATACGTGATTGCAAGAATATATGGCCATATCAAATACATTTTATTGTTACATATGTAAATAGTTATGTCATGCCCACGGGGTATAACCGCCGTACGATTGATTCCGGAAGTTAATCGCTGCATCGCGAGGTTGGCAGATAGACCATCCTAAAATTTTCACCGTAGACTAATTGACGTACTGTTCAGTTAAGTATTAAATTTTTATAAAAACATAGTTTACTGATCCTGACAGCATTCTATATTACTAGAAGATGCCCGCGAAATCGCAGTGCAATTAGGCAAGAATTGAAACAAAACAAAAATCAATTTTCGCGGGTAGTACGCCGACTAAGCATACACGAAAGCGTATAAGACACGGATTGATAAAGGTCTTCGAATTTTGATATTTACTAAATAAAATTGTCGTTTTCTGTAGAAAAAAGATTGTTTCAAAGAAAAATAAGTACTACAAAACACTACATGTATACGTCATATCACAATTATTTCTGACTTTGTATGGTTTCAGAGGAGTTGCTGCTCAATGAAATCGGTCTCTGCCTTGAGTAGTATAGATTTATATTACAATGAAATCGGTCTCTTCCTTGAGTAGTATAGATTTATATTACAGGAACACAATGTGACTTTTTTAAATATTACTTGTAATGATCGCGAAACAAATATATTAAATAATATTTCACTCGAGTTTTTTTTTACATATATTTATTCATATTCTGTATAACTTTATTCTTTTAATGTGCATTTACTTTTAATTTCGGTTTTTATAACTAATAATACAAATTAAAAAAAATATTATTTGCCATTATCTTCACTGAATTCACAAAGTCAGGAAATATCCGATATTTTTCGTGTATCTTTCACGTTTCATTCCCGATCATATGACAGTTTACTATAAAATCGGTTGCGGGTACGCGTAGCCTACAAAGGCCAATTTGGCTACGCAAAAAATAAATCGTGTGTCATGTGAAAATTTCCAACTAATCTAGTACTTGCATGAATTTTTCTTTAATAAATAGGAAACAATTTTATTAAGTCTACCTCGTTGGAGGAAACATTTAAAATAGGGATTTCTTGTACTTGGAGTCTTTTTTTACTCTCAGTCGTTTACTAGCATATTTTTCTCCAACGACAAAGAGTGCGATATCCGGGGATTCCCGTTCTAAAAATAAATAGCGATTGTCTAACGATCGAAAAATCTAACGATTAGTCTACGTATGCTTTATGAAACGCACGTAAACATAATCGTTATGTAGTCGTTAGTCGCACGCTAATATTAACGTTAGTCGTTATTAGCGATTGTTTTATGAAACGGCAGCCTGGATGCTTTATAATTTGTATGCAGATACCGTAGGTTACTAAGTTTCCGACTGTCATATGTCCATTGTCCTTGACCTCATATTCATGGATCAGCGACTGCTTTAAAAAAATGAAATAGTTTTTTTGTCATATGAATTTCTCACATATTATGAGTAATATATAGTCCTATATAGATTCCACCACTGCAACGAGTGTATTGCGATATTTCTCCACTCGAGACAGTTAAATTTTAATATTTTAAGCGCGAAGCTTGCCGAGCTTTTTAAATAATCAAGATTTAACTGTTGAAAAATCGTAATACACGAGTTATAGTGGTGGAATCTGTTTCTCTAATGATTTCCATCCTTCCTTTTCAAAGATTATCAGAAAGTTGTGCTCTTTATATGTGACGTCATCAGGTATGGTCACCATTTTTCATGACGTCACAATAGGAAATCATCTGTCAGTAAACCGAGAAAAGTTGACGCAATAATTAAATTTCAACTAATCATTTGCCGAGAACAGATATTTCACAAGTGAGGAAAACAATTTTTTTCACAATCGGTTGGGAAATGTGAAAACAGTGAAAAAATAGAGAAAGGATTTAATCATATTTGGTATATGGGTTCTTTGCTACGTGTACGTGTACGTCAGACAGGGTTCACCTGACATCGACCTCATTTCATTGATCAGTGATCTCTAGGTTAAAGTTACGTGATTATGTCCGTTTCTCAGATACTATAAGCAGTAGGTCAACTATATATATGTTGTGTATGGAATGATTGTTAGGGGTACATGTCATTCTGGCGGGTTTCATCTTACCTTGACCTCATTTTCATGTTTCATTGGTCATTGTTAAGTTTTTGTGTTTTTCAAGTACTATAAGCAATAGGTCAACTATATTTGGTGTATGAAATGATTGTAAGGTGTACATGTCGGTCTAGACGGTATCATCTGACCTTGATCTCATCATGTTTTCATGGTTCATTGGTCAATGTTAGGTTTTTATGTTTAATTGTCTGTGAATACGACCAGTACATGATGCAACCTAGACCTCTGTAAGCATTTTAATTATAACGAATTACAACAACAAAAAATATCCTCCCTTGATCAACATACTCTATTAGGTCACGTTGTACTTATGTTCCATCTGAGTAATCAAAATATTCATCTGATGAATCTTTTATTGAAATCGAAGAAGAACTGTTAATATTTTCTCAAGGTATCAAAAATATTGTGATCGTAGGGGATTTCAATGCTAGAACTTCTTCTTTGAAGGATTATGTTGATGATGATATAAATTTACAGGAAATACTACAAACTGGAAAAGATGGAATTAATGATAATACTTCTGGTTATTCTATACTTAAAGAAAATAATATTTTACAAAGATTTAATGAAGATACAGGTCGTGTAAACAAATATGGAACAAATTTATTGGATTTTTGTAAAAGATGTAACCTTTTTATAGCAAATGGTTGTCTTTTTTCAGACAAAGGTATTGGCCATACAACATGTAAAGATGCTAGCATGGTAGACTATCTGTTACTTTCACCTAATAGTTTTAATATAACTACAGATTTTGAAATAATTGGTTTAAACCCAATGTTTTCTGATGTTCATAATAGAGTTCATTTTACAATGAAAAAAAAGACTACGATAACCATCAGAAAATCTTAACTTCTAATCAAAAGGTAGACCAACATGTACGTTGGAGGTCAGATAAAGCCAATGAATTTATTCAAGAAATAAATGATGATCCCCATAACTCATTGAATGAACTTAACAGCATGTTGAATGAAATGAATGAAAACACACAGGTTAATGCCGATCAGATAAATAGTCTTATTAATAACCTTAAAAGTTTGTAAATTCTTAGTAAATAGCGCCACTAACTAAATTTAAATTACAAAGCAAAAATATAGAATTAGTCGATACCTTCTCATATCTTGGGCTCACATTCAAATGTAATGGTACTTTTACAGAAGCGAAGAAAAAATTGGTTAATCAAGCACAAAAAGCATTATACAGCTTGTACAAAAGTATCAGATATCATGGCAAGTCATCCCATTAGATTTACAGCTTAAACTTTTTGATGCCATGGTAGAGCCTATTCTTTTATATGGCTGTGGGATTTGGGGATACGAAAACTTGAAAATTTTGGAACAAATTCACTTAAATTTTTGTAAACGTATTTTAAGAGTAAGATCTTCAACGCCTAACTATATGGTATATGGAGAATTAGGCAGAGTTCCATTAGAAATAAAAGTTAAGATAAGAATGACATCATTTTGGAGAAGTATAATGCATGGTGAAAAATTAAGTAGTAATATGTATAGATTATTATTAAGTTTAAAGCAAAAAAGCGGTCAGTCATTCAAATGGCTGAATTTTATAGAATCAATATTTAATGATACAGGACTAGGATATGTGTTTGTCAATCAAGATAGTACTGACTACAAACATCTGATAAAACAGGTTTTACAAGACCAATATATACAAAAATGGCATCAAGATGTTCAATTATCTTCCCGAGGTGTATTTTACTCCAGTTATAAAAAATATTTTGGTTTTGAAAATTATTTAATAAAAATCCCGGAAAATGCAAGAATCTGGATGAAAAAATTAAGAACGTCTAATTTAAAAAATTCCCATTGATACTGGGCGTTGGTATAATATTGCGGCGGAGGACCGAAAATGTCACATATGTAAAGAAAACTTCGGGTAGGAGACGAATTTCACTATCTTTTTATATGCAAGTCTCCCCAACTTGTTATTTTTAGAGAAAAACATATCCCTTGTTATTATACAAAGCATCCAATCAAGCAGAATTATCTGTTGTGTTCTCTTATTGCAATGTTAATTCATATAGACAGATGTCATCTTTTATTAGAAAGCTAAATAACTTATTGTGATATGTATATTAATTTGTATGAATTTTATTTGTTTTTGTTTTTAAATGTTACCATTGTATTATAAATCATGTTTATTATTGTATATTTACCTCATGTTACACATATATGTGTCTGAGCGTTGCTTTACAATGAATAAAAAAAAACTATTCTAATCATGTAAATTAAAATGCTCATAATCGAATCGTGGCTTGTGAGCTTATATCTTAGCAGACTCTTAATTCTAAATATTAGTTTGTGTATTTTTTGTTGTTGTTTATATTCTGTATTTTCACTTATTTTTATAATTGCATAGACGGTACGATATATAAATTAAACAGGCCCCCCCCCCCAAAAAAAAATGTGTTTATAAATTTTGACCCTCATAAAATAATAAGCCAGGGTCAAAATCTATAAACTACCGCAAAGAACAAGAACACATTAAATAAGTGAAATTGAATCAAAATATGACACAATATTTACCAAAAAATAAATAAAAACACAAACAAAAAATATTTAGAAAAAAGGGGGGACCACTCCCCAGGTGCTTGCGGGATTGGTCTATCGTTTTATTAAATTGTATAAAGATGTAGGCTGCTATAAAAATCATTGATAACACTAAAAAACTATATTTTGGGGTTTGTTCTTCATTCAGAAGAAACGTTGAAGAAACAACGTGTGTGTTTGCTATGATCGCTACGCATACGCATGCTGAAATGATACTTCCGGTTGTACCGCAAGAATGGCGGACAAGCTGACCGATGCCGACATAGCTGAAGAATTAAGGAAGTTTGGAGAACAAGTGAAGCTTCCCATAGACAGGAAAAAGAGACCATTGCTTCTGAAAAAGCTTAATCATTATCGTGCAAAAGAAAGGGCTGTCACGCAGCCCAAAAAGTCGACACCATCTCGTAAAAAACAGCCGGCTGAATTTAGCTCTGAGGAGAGCGAAGAAGAGGAAAATGAAGCCGATTCAACATTTGGAAAAATATTTGGTCGTGTGAAAAAAACTCCTTCATCTCCTTTCTACAGCAACACCAATACAATTGAAATTTCTCCCTCGTCGTCAAAAGATGACCCAAAACTCAAAAGGAACACGAGAAGATCTTTTCTCTCGAAAGATGTTAATTCTTCTGAAAACAAATCAAAAATGTATCCAGACTTGTCAGAACTGTCCATTTCAAATGAGAGGAATTCAAAGAACAGTTCTTTAAATAGAAGTCAAAGAGATGACTCTTTAGAATATAGTTATGAACAAGAATTCACAGACTCTGATCCAGACGAAAGTACATATGAAGTAGTAAATAAATCGGTGAACACAACATTTATTTATGACAATCAAGATGAGGAACCAACACTCCACCAAACTCGTAGCACACCTCATCGCGGTACACCTAACCGTAAATCTGGAAATACCCCAAACTCTGTTTTGGTTCAAAGACAAAAGAAAAACAAATCTAACATAAATCATGTAAATAAATTATTGCCAAAAGAAGAACCTGAAGAGCCATTAGAGGATGCATTTCAGACTACAGAGAAAGTAACTGAAACATCATCAAGCTATGTTTCATCAATTCTAGTGCTTCTTGTTGCCATATTCTTCCTCAGTATTTCACTCACATACGTTTACTTACGAAGAGATTATTTGTTTCAGACAGAATCAGGTTATAACTTAAATATGTATCTTAAGTTTTAATCATCTTATAGAGGGGCTTGTTTGTATTCATTTTTTTTTTTGAAGTCAAACCATCCTGAGAAATAAAACATACACTTTAAACTAAATATTGGTAAAATTTATAAACAGTAAAATAAATTTTTGCAGCACAATAAAAAATAACACTACAACTAATTATTCAATCTGCAGACATAGACCCTTTAGAATGGAAACTTGATAGTGTACTCGCATCTTGTGTGGGAGGCATTGGTCTGTACTGCCAAAAAGTTTACCTCATTAAAAAAAAATGGTTAGGTAGGTCGGTATTTCCGTTTTATTTTATTTTTTGTGACATGATTTTTAGTCGTGCGGTCCGTCTTGCTGTGATCTGAGTTGTCCAAGGGCTTAGTTTACCAGTATTTTAATGATTGGATTATTTCCCTTGGTTTTTGGTTGGGGGAAAAATGGCGGCAAAGTGTTTATTTTATCACATGAATCGCAAGTTTTTTAAAACAGCTGTCATATTCACGATTGTGAACATTTAGGTGTATCAGGCAATTGATTCATTTTATTGGCATCTCTAACTTCGCTTTTGACACAAGTTCAGTTAATTTTTCAGTTTACGATGGGAATAAATTGATTTAGGTTCGGTGCTCAAAAGTAGGGTCATTCAGGTAACCAGAATCAGAATAATGAAAGTGTCTGAGTAGCGTAATAAGTCATATTGCAGACTGTTATCTTTTGAGCTAATACATGAAGAGGACTCTGCTTGTCAATCTAGTACAAAGCAGGGTATACATTTTGGATATATTTAGGTAACTCTAGTACTCTACTATGATCTAGTATTGCACATGCTGAGTAAACCATATACGGGCTGATTTTTGCATAGCATTTATGAAAGATGAGGGTTTTCTGTCATGTCTGTAAAAACTCTGAATTATTTTTGGGAGAATAACAGAATGAACAGATAAACAATAACTATGATAACCCTACCCCACAGGAGAAATGAAACTCCTAGATTAAAATATTGGTTGAATGTAAATATTATGTTATAGATTGTTACTAAAGTGCATAGGACTATATGTGTTATAGTTTGGTGTGAATAAGTTAATTTATTTTTCAGATGTAATTGTGCCATGGTCTACAAAGGTGAGTAGAAATCAAAATGCATTCTCAGTATAAAGATAGAATGTTACATTATCTTATTATTGTGGATCTTTTAACTGATGCTGTAAATAAAAAGAACTTTCATTTAAAGCCATTCACATATTGCCAATAACCTCAAATATGCATGCATCAATTTACTGTAATCTATGTTTGTTGTTGAGATTAGTTAAAGTAAGATCCATCAGTTTCTGGTCTTATGTTCCAGATGAATGGGATTTTATCCTTTATATTTAAGGCAATTTTCACTAATGTTTGTATTAGTGAATTTAAGCTCCCTGGTGGTTATGAATTTTTTCCTATTTGTCATTCCAGAGCTATAAGACTTGTAACTGTCAAATGTGGTCCAGAGTTTTTCAACCTTTAGATTTTTTGGCTTGTATATTTCAAGTAAGGATATCAAACTCTTGTATAAGTTTTTAGCTAGGCTCTTTTATGCCTTCACTACAATTCTATTCTATTGCAACAATTTCGATATGCAAGGCATGTCTTGTGTTCTTGACACAGCTGTTTATTGTGATAAAGTTTATATTCCTTGCTACCCATTGTGATTTGGGAAATCAGACAAAACAACTATATCTTTTTCTTTGATGATTGGAGATAAACCTAGGTCATAATTTACGTGTAATGGTTTATATTTCTTTTTATATCTTTGTCATGTTAAGAATCCTTGCAACAACCCTCTGTCGGTGAACTGTTGCAAGGCAACATTGCTGTCCCTATCCAATATACCCTCATCTTCCAGTGGGGGTTAAAATTTCCTCAACCTTCATCCTGGACAGCTTCTATTACAGGACCTACACATGTACCTATTGTATTTATTTTTAATTCGTTCTCGTCCTGAACATGCATGAAATATTAAATATTTGCCACTGGACATTAAGCAACCATCAATCAATCAATTAAATACAACTTAATAAATGAAAAATAAACTGAGGTTTGTATACCTTTTCCATTTATGATTGTGTCAATAACATGAGATAGTGTTTTACACCTATAACAACAAACTGAAGGAATGTGAAAAAAATATAACAAATCTACATAACTATATCCCAACATCAATTTTTGTTTAGCTTAAAATGGATGACATATTCATTTATTATTAAAAAAATTATATTAAAATATTATTTATTTCAGGTTGGTGAAGATAATACACAATCTATCTTTGAGATTGTCAGAAAAATTGGTGGTTACATTCATCAGCAGCCTCTAGGTAAAGACCACTAGTGACACTTGATCATATATTGCAGTATTAATTATGTATAAAAAGAGTATGTGTGAATGAACAACCCTAAATTATAAAAAACAAGAAATGCACAGGGAAACATTTAGTCTTCAACTATTTACAAGTGTTTTTACCAAATGTCAAGCTTTTGATCAATCCTGAATCTAGACGTATGAATAAAATTAACAGGGACTACTAAATGTTTTAAATTATAGAAATAATAAGAATTGATTTGGATTTTGGGAATAAACACAGATACATTTTCATGAAATATGAACATCACTAATATAACTTATGTATCCATTTAAACTGTTATGAACATATTCACTTTTATTGTTGCTTTATCCCTCTCTTAAATATTCCATTCCATATCTGCTAGATAATTCAAACCCTCTTTATACAGGCTTGGTATTGTTATTTGGTTCATCTTGCCCAAATGGTTATGTGAGTCTTTCTCATCACTAGGTGTCTGTTGTCTATCATCTTTCATTCAACATTCTCAGAAATCAGCTCCTTGACCTATTTGGACTAAAGTAGAAAAATTACATGCATAAATAAAAATTATATAGAACATGGTAATTCAAGATTAACTATTGAAATAAATATATCTTATATATCATAATGTGGAATATAAGGAAATGAAATTCATTATTCCTGCTGAAAATGAAAAAAGAGTCATTGAACTTTGAATGCATTTATCTAAGGGTTTATCAGAAAATAGATCTAGCAAAGATCTGGATTCTATATTTTCAATTCCTTAATAAAATTTTGTTTCCATTGTTTTTTCAGATCCAAGAACAGATGTGAAAAAAGTATCAAAAGAAACTGTGAAAATGAAGTTGGAAAAAGAAAGAGTTGTTAAGAAGGTTTGTTGAATAAATTCAGCCTAACAATTTTACATTGTACTTACTTTGTGCTTTTTGCAAGGTGGTGTGTTAAGAGTATGTTGTAAAATAGAACTTATCATATTCAAAGCTTTTGAATATATTTGGAAAATTGGTAAAAAATTACCAGAGCTCATTTGTGGCATATGAGATTTAAGATATATTATAAAGGAAATTTATTGTTTGGGGATCAAAATCAGGTTTGTAGACAAAAACATTGTGGTCCATAAGTTATTGTCAAAGGACTTTTGATCTAGAAGCAGTTTTCTCCCATTACTATTGATACTCTGGGTCAACCACCATTAAGTTCCCTGGTACATTATTCTTTATCTAGCTGGTTAACTAATTGTTGTTTGTTTTTTTAGGTTTTTGTCTCGCCTGCGACGAAAGTCGCAGAAAGTGAGACATAGGTATTACTATCCGGCGGCGTAAACTATTTGTATAAAGCTTTATATTTCAGAAGGTAGAAGACCTGGATGCTTCATACTTTGTATGCAGATACCTTATGTTACGAACTTTCCGTCTGTCATATGTCCAATGTCCTTGACCTTATTTTCATGGTTCAGCGACTGCTTGAAAAAAAAAGTTTAGTTTTTTTGTTATGTAAATTTCTCACTTATTATGAGTAATAGGATATCTATATTTGGTATATGGGTTCCTTGCAACATCTACATGTCCATCAGACAGGGTTCACCTGACCTCAGCCTCATTTCATGGATCAGTGATCAAGGTTAAAGTAACATGATTAGGTTTGTTTCTCAGATACTACAAGCAGTAGGTCAGCTATATGTGGTGTATGGAATGATTATAAGGGATACATGTCAGTCTGGCAGGTTTCATCTGACCTTGACCTCATTTTCACGGTTCATTGGTCAATGTTAAGTTTTTGTGTTTTGGTCTGTTTTTCTAATACTATAAGCCATTGGTCAACTATATTTGGTGTATGGAATGATTGTTAGGTGTACATGTCTGTCTGGCAGGTGTCATTTGTCCTTGACCTATTTTCATGGTTCATTGGTCAATGTTAAGTTTTTGTGTTTTGGTCTGTTTTTCTAATACTATAAGCAATAGGTCAACTATATTTGGTGTATGGAATGATTGTAAGGTGTACATGTCTGACTGGCAGGTGTCATTTGTCCTTGACCTCATTTTCATGGTTCATTGGTCAATGTTAAGTTTTTGTGTTTTGGTCTGTTTTTCTAATACTATAAGCAATAGGTCAACTATATTTGGTGTATGGAATGGTTGTAAGGTGTACATGTCTGTCTGGCAGGTGTCATTTGTCCTTGACCTCATTTTCATGGTTCATTGGTCAATGTTAAGTTGCTCTTGTCTTAAACTATAAGCAATAGGTCAACTATATTTGTTGTATGGAAGAATTGTTAGCTGAACATGCCTGCCTAGCATGGTTAATCTGACCTTGACCTCATTTTCATGGTTCATTGGTCAATGTTAGTTTACTTGGTTAATGTTAAGTTTATGTGACAGTTGTAATAAAGCTTTATATTTAGGACTATCAACATAATATCAATGATTAGTAAAGAAGGCGAGACATTTCAGCGTGTGCACTCTTGTTTTTCTATCCACTAAATACAAGAAACTCAATCCTTAATGAAAAATACAAAACAAAATAATAATCAGAGTTCACGAAAATCGTCGTTCTTGTCTGCCAAAATGAGGCTTGGATCCGTATTTTGATTGCTAGCGGCAGTCCCGATGACTGATGCAAAAACGTCCACTGCAGTGCCTATGTTGGCACTTTTTTTTTACATCAGTCATCAGATGTACCTGTGGCTAATTTCTAGTACATTTTTATACGACTACAAAAAATTTTGCGGTCGTATATTGGTATCACGTCGTCGTCCTCCGAAGACATTTGGTTTCCGGACAATAACTTTAGTTTTAGTAAATAGAAACAATGAAATTTAAACATAAGGTTTATAACCACAAAAGGAAGGTTGGGATTGATTTTGGGGGTTATGGTCCCAACAGTTTAGGAATTAGGGGCCAAAAAGGGCCCAAATAAGCATTTTTCTAGTTTCATGACAATAACTCGAATACAGTGTATGGATCTCTCTGAAATTATACCACAAGTTTCCATACCACAAAAGGATGGTTAGGATTTGCATTGGGGGGTTATGGCTCAAACCATTTAGGAAGTAGGGGCAAAAAAGGGGGAAAAACAAGGGTTTCCTGGTTAATGGACAATTAAGACAATTTAAAAGCAGTGTAAGGGAGGTAATCCAAACAGAACGTTTTGATTACCTCCCTTACACTGCTTTTAAATTATTTAAAAAGAAACGTTGTATTGTCTTGAGATTGATTAGCTGTCAATTTATTTTTAGAAGTTACTATTAAGGAATATTAATTTTAGCCATGATTATATATGTCATTTTCTATTTTAAGACTTTTATGATGTATTTAAATGGGTAATTATGGTTGCAAACTCCATTGGAAATTTAAATTGAGATAATGACCATATCTTGAGGGAAAGATTTTTTTTTTTGGAAAAAGGGGAGGGCTGAAGGTGAATAAAAAATTGGGGGGGGGGGGGGGGGGGGGAATAATTTTTTATTCTCATTTCAGATTTCAGAAATTAAAAAGGGGGATATACATTTTTTTTTTGGGGGGGGTCAATTCACAACAGCAGAGTGTAGTGCACAAAAGCAAAAAAAAAGGGGGGGGGGGGGGTCAATTCGCAACAGCATAGTGTTTTGCACAAAAGCAAAAAATTGAATATAAATTCATATCATATAACCAATTCTAAGTTCTTTTAGGGCTCATGCTAGCAGGCGAGTGGCGCTTTCCCGTCCATCACTTCGCTTTGCCTGACCGTCAAAAGTGATATCTAGTCGCCCTGGTGTCCACAATAGTCGCTTTCAGTCGCTTTCGTCATCAACGATTTCCCATTTTTACCAAGTCAATAAAACAGCATACTTTTCATTTAAAAGTGAAGAAATTCAAAGACATAAACGATTTTTTTTTTTTTAAAAAGATGTGAAAGAATTGACTTTACAGATTGGTCATATGTTATTTCCAAGAAACAACTTTTATGAAGTATTATCTTTCACTTCCGGTACTTGTTACTCAAGATTGTATATCAAAACATTCTGATTTTCGGCAAAATAAGATTGTTATTTCTTTAGAAAGTGATCAAAATTGCCTTTAGTTAAAGTATGATCCATTAATTGCATTAAAAGCGTCATATATCCTTTTCCGAATCGCTTGCCAAACATTGTTTATTTTCGTAAATTTTCTTCACCCGTCATTGAAATATCTGTACGAACCACGGATCGGAGGCGGGATTCATCAGAAGCGGACCAGCTATGACCGAAATCCGTATTCTTACGATAATAACTACAGACACCTGAATAGAACAGCTGACAAAAGAATACTGATCCCAAAAGTGAAAATTACGCATTCCACACGCATTAACAGACTTTGGATTAGATCTCCTTGCTAAATGTATACATTTTCATGTAAATACATTTTTTCAATATATTGATTAAAGATGCTTAAATAACTTTGTTTAATTTATATAGCTTTTTAATGAGAAACATTTAATTTTATTGACATGATAAACAGAATAGTCTTTTAATTGCATTTTAATTGATTTATGATACTTTTTTTTCCTTTTTGATATAAAAAAGTTCTTTTTAGTGCTAGATATTTAGTTGCTTTATTCTTACAAGAGGACTAATATAATTGTGCAACTATAAATGACTATTTAAGACATAAACTGAAACAACTGTTACTTTAATTGATTCAGGTATGAATTGAGCACGTATTAAAAAAAAAAGAAATAGGTAACATAGGGCCCTCTATATTATAGTAAAAACCAAACATTGAAGAGGCGCCAGCGAATGAGCACTTCTCTTTCAAATCTCACCACTTCTCCCTACCAGTTTCAAAAAGAGAAGTCACTTCTCCCTATGATTTTGAAGTAGTGTGAGCCCTGTTCTTTGACTACAGTTATTCTGTGTCAGAAACCTATTATGTGTCAAATATTTAATTACAATCCAAATTCAGACCTGTATCAAGTGCGAATATTGTGTCCATTTTTGCCCCAACTGTTCAGGGTTGGACCTCTGCAGTCGTATCCAGCTGTGCTCGGCGAAGCAATGTATTCTCATTGTTGAAGGCCACACGGTTGCCTATAATTGCTTATATCCACTTCATTTGAACTTTGGTGGATAGTTGTCTCATTTGCAATCACCTTCTTTTTATATAGTTAGATTACTGCATATTTTTTGTGAGCTGCTGATTTAATAAGATATCTCCTTATTTTTATATACTCATTTTGATTGCGGGTGTGAAATATTTTGATGCAAATAGGATTACTTTGGTATAGCTATTCCACCTAAATATATAAATGATATAAGAAAAATACAGAAACATTTTTTTTGGGGGGGGGGGGTCAATTTTTTTCCCCTCAAGATTTAAGAAAGGGTCAATTTTCCAAAGAAAAAAATTGGGGGTCACAATTTATTTTGCTAATTCTTTGTATATACCCCGGTAGTCTGAAAACAGATTTACTAAGTATTGCGCAACAGCACAGTGTATTGCACAACAGCAAGAAATCTTCAATTGAATATAAATTCAAATCATACAACCAATTTCAAGTTCTTTGACTACATTTATTCTGTGTCAGAAACCTATAATGTGTCAAATATTTAATTACAATCCAATTTCAGACCTGTATCAAGCTTGAATATTGTGTCCATTTTTGCCCCAACTGTTCAGGTTGGACCTCTGCAGTCGTATCCAGCTGGGCTCGGCGAAGCAGGTTATTATTTTCTGCACTAGAGCGTGTGCCATGAAATTTCAATCTTGTATATATGATGTGATGTAACAAGTAATAAATTTGAACTTGTTTTTCAGGATGGTGATGAATTTGTGAAAGCATTACATTTAATCTTAGCCAATCCAACATGGTCCATCAGGTAACCTGCTTTATCTTGCAGTCACATGTATCAATAAGTAAAGCTCTATGATGTCATTCTAATCAGAAATAAAAAATAATAATTACATTATGTGCCCATTTTATCAAACCTCAACAATATGATTGACAAAGAAAAGACTAAGGTAATTAAACAATCATATTATTACCAAGAGGTTTCAAAATAAAAGTTTTATTGCTTCCTATATTTTTTATAAGAACATTAAATAAATCACCAAGGTTATAATTCCTGTATTAGAGCGAAAATGCTCAGTTTTTGCTTTGTTTAATGATGCTTGTTTGCTGAAGATTTTAAATTAATACTTCCTCTTAAAAGAAAACCAAAAAGACAACATTCAGATATATATTGATTGATCTTTACTCATTTTCTTTTATTCATACAAATATATATCAATGTATCAAGAGTAGTATATACAAACACAGGGTCTTTGTTTCATCATATGAAACAAAGACCATCCATATATGCATATTTTGTGTTCAAACTTGATCTATTGTTCTTTTAAGTGCATAATTAAACAACAGCAAAGGCTGAGTTTAAGGTTGTACTGCTGATGACCAAAATTTCCTTTTTATACGCCCGTTTACAGGACGTATTATGGTAAACTGTTGTCCGTCTGTCGTCAACATGCTGGACATTAACTCAAAAACGTTTTTACCAATTTTCACTTTGGTGAATTGTTTATATCTATTGACGTTAGCTCCCTTTCGTTTTTTATAAATTTTAGATTTTACGTTTCCGAGTTATGGGGTTTTATTCATTAAAAAAAAGGGGGATTTTCCAGTTTTCAGACAATAACTCAAGTATGCTTTCACCAACTTGCAAGAAATTGTGGTGAATTGTTTATATCTATTGACATGAGCTCCCTTTCGATTTTTTTTTTTTTTTAGATTTTACGTTTCCGAGTTACAGGGTTTTATTCATAAAAAAAGGGGGATTTTCCAGTTTTCCGACAAAAAATAAAAAATGCTTTCAGCAGTTCTTAAGTATTGTGCAACAGCAAAGTGTATTGCACAACAGCAAGAAATCTTTAATTGAATATAAATTCAATTCATATAACCAATTTCAAGTTCTTTGACTAGATTTATTCAGAAACCTATAATATGTCAAATATTTACCGTTAAAAGGCTTGTATAGTCCGCGGTTTTATTCTCCAAAATTGACCCTGACAGCAGGGGTGCGGACTATAGAGTACAATAAGCAAAAAATAAGAGAGAAAATTTTAATTTCGCGATGTGGTTTGTTTACGTTCCGCCATGTTTGTTATTGACATTGTAGAGGGCTCTCTTATTTTTCAAACCAACAATTTTACCCCCATATTAATAAGTTATTTTTATTCAATATCAAATTAATACTGATAAATTTAAAAATTAAATGCTTCATTACAAAATTCTCGTTTCTTTTCAATGCATTGCTAAATATAAACTGGTATCTGCTTGAATGAAATCGTACCAAAAAAGTAAAAAAAGTCAACCGTAAACCAGTTTACGATGTGTAAACTACAAAACGCAATCGGTTATTATTCGTTCCGTTTTGGTGTTTCCTATTGACAAATATGTTTTGTAATAGCTTAAGACCCTTCAAACATTAATGTGATAGATATATTAAACACTGTTTTACATAAGGAGGGAATTGTTTTACTTTCAAAGTCATATTATAGTGATATCTATTATGTACCGATTTCGACTCTCACTGAGTTTTTTCATCTTTTTCACGTGCTTTTCAAACCTCCGGTTTAAACATACACAAGTTTCTAAATTGTTTTTTGCGTGATTTAGACTTATTTTAACCAGTGTGAAGTGTTTTAGAACCATTTACAAGCAGTTTCAGCTTCTGTTTGGTGATGGAAAATAGGTTTTTCCAAGAAAATATAGCAAACGACCACACACGATTTAAAATTACCGGAGTTTCATTAGAATTTCCTAACAGTTACAAAACGTTTTTTTACCTGAAATTTCGTGGGGAGAAGGGGGTGCGGACTATGTACCAGTGCGAACTATACAAGCCCGATTACGGTAGTTACAATCCAAATTCAGACCTGTATCAAGCTTGAATATTGTGTCTATTTTTGCCCCAACTGTTCAGGGTTGGACCTCTGCGGGCGTATCCAGCTGTGCTCAGCGAAGCAGTTTATTTGTTTCACCTGCAACAACATTCATGAAGGCAAGACAGCAGTTCTATTGAATTAAGTTGTTGTCGATAATCGTTGACCATAATATTTAAGTTTCTTATGACATGAATGAAGGCACAAAATCAGTAAAAAAAAATTTTGAAAAATTGAAACGAAACTTTTTGTGAGAGCTGTTCTAGGAAACGGTGAGGAGGGTGTGTATGATTGAACAGCGCTTAATATAATAATACAAACATGATGTGGTTCATCACTTTTCTCTTTTTATAAAATATGATTTCCTAGTAAAATTGTGTAGGGGTGGGTCATGAAATATAGAGCTATAACTCCCTTCCCAATACACACACACAAATATAACTTACTTTCCAAAAAATGAATAATATGCTTAGAAAATATTGAGGTACCTCAACCAGGGTTCTCACTAAGGTCAGTCCATGAGTCCTGTACTCGTGAAAATTTGTCTGGACTCATTTTCAAAATTGGTGAGTCCAAAGATACTTCAAGAATGTTATACCAACTGTGCACACATATCATTTTATAGCAAAAGTATAAAAATCATCTAAATTTGATGTCATTTCCATGCTCTTATTTTATCATGGAGGCTGAAATAATAGATTTATATAGCAATAAAATTTCTTCTTGTCACTGTTAGACTCAGCATGGCCAAAAATGATGAGTCCATGACTCGCCTTTAAAAATCCTTATTGAGAACCCTGATGTCAACAATGATAGAGTGTTGCTCACATAACTTGAAACATTTTAATATCTATTAAAAGATGCACTGTACTAAATTTTGTTAATTTTCTTTTTAGAAATAATGGAATCATATAAATTTTTCAGATTATATAAAGAAGATGGTCAGCCTGTAGTATATACTCCATATTCCAAAGATGAGGATGCTGTAGGAGAGGTAGCATGGTTAGAAGCTGACAGAGATAAATCATTGTTAGAAAGACTGAGGGACTCCGCATACAGAATATTTATTGGATTTGTCTTGTTGTTGTCATGTAAGGGAAACAATATACCTTAAATGAAAACACTTAGTAGTTTAGTGCGTTTGAAGCACTTTTCTTGATTGAACTTCATCAGGACCTCTCAAAACTTAACATTTGAACACCTAGGGTGTATAAATATATAAAAAAAAAAATGGAACAGTATGATCAAAAGGGACTTTAGAAGAATAGCCAAATTCATTTACGGTCAACATTTGCTGAGGTAGTTGAAACCATAGTTTCTTGATAATTCATCAACAGGGAAGTTTTCCTAGATAAATAAAAAAAAGGGAAGAATATTATGAATGTAACATGGAATTCAAGGGACTTCTCTGCATCTTAACAGAAATAATTTTATTGGGAGTGGAACTAATTTCTGACAATAAATCCTGGTGCCATGAACCATTTGCTTATGTGATAGTTGACTTACTGCCATGTCAAGATATTTTCATCTCATGAATGGTGGAAAAATAACATCGAATGCAGGTTGTCATTATTTTTCACTAACAAAGTATTTCTTAAAAAGTAACATTTTATTCCATCAGAAAAAAAAATTAAGAGAGTTGGTACTACCAACTTAGTAGTAGTTTATTAAATTAAACATTTTTGTAACTGCTGATTAGCCAACTAGGGTTGTCAATTCTCATATATATTGATTTAGGTATTATAGCAGGAGAAATAGGGTTGAAAATTCTTAGGTTTTATATTTCAGGTATTATAGCAGGAAACATAGGGTTGAAAATTCTCAGGTTTTATATTTCAGGTATTATAGCAGGAGACATAGGGTTGTACATTCTCAGGTTTTATTTTTCAGGTATTATAGCAGGAGTAATAGGGTTGTTAATTCTCAGGTTTTATAACAAGTCCAAAGAAGAAGAACAAAAGAGAGTCTACAATATGGTGGAACAAATTATCGGTAAATTTATCTTGATTATTAGATGTGCCTGGTAATCACTTCGCCTTTAAAAAAAATGAATTTTTATTTTTGTCACTAAGCAACAAATTTTTGTCAAAAAGTTTTGAGGTGTATGATTTTTACATCGGATGACCGTGAGGGCATTCCGGTGTAGTGCTGTCACCTAGATTTCCATTACGTAACTTTCATGTTGGGATTGTAACTGATCTATAAACATGATAAATACGCGGACATTATAGAGTGCAAAATAACATTCCTTATCCCTTGTTATAAATTCATTTTTTCAATGGATACTCCTAAAAATATTTTTTTTAGAACATAAATTAATAATATAAAAATGTTTTGTCGTTAGAAATATATATTTAAGTAAAAAATCTTTAATATCTATGCACACGTACACAAAATGTGTGTAAACGCATGCGGAAGAATATCTCGAGAACGTTTGCAATCTCCCATGCAGAGTTAACGGTCCTCGCTCTCTCTCAAGGACAGATAACTCTGCATGGGAGATTGAAAGTTTGGCGGGAAAATATGAATGCCTACTCAAATCCAATCTATTAGAAAAATCAAATTATTACAGAAGAGTGTCCACCATGCACTTGCACTGCTCTATTATTAATATAGTAGAATAGAATGATATACAAATGGATGAAAATTATATATTCATTTATTTGTTCAGTGTATGTTCAATGGTGTTAATATGTCCTTTGATTGAGTTAAGCTATTTCAGTTGATATTTTGTAGTGTGTCTTTCTATGTTGTGATGTTACACTATTGTTTCAGAAAAAGGGTGAAGGTTTGGTACCATTAAAACGTTTAAACCCGCTGCATTTGTTTGCACCTGTCCTAAGTCTGGAATCTGATGTTCAGTAGTTGTCGTTTGTTGATGTGGTTCATAAGTGTTTCTCGTTTCTCGTTTTTTATATAGATTAGACCGTTGGTTTTCCCGTTTGAATGGTTTTACACTAGTAATTTTTTGGGGCCCTTTATAGCTTACTGTTTGGTGTGAGCCAAGGCTCCGTGTTGAAGACCGTACTGTGACCTATAATGGTTTACTTTTATAAATTTTGACTTGGATGGAGAGTTGTCTCATTGGCACTCATACCACATCTTCTTATATCTATGTAACTGTAATATACAAATATTAATATAATATATAACAACAAACCAGAGTATACTGATTTGTATCAATTCAATATCATATTTATTACGGTGAGGTTGAATTCTCTGTCATTTATTTATCATCCACACACGAACTTGTCTAAGAAAAAAAAATTATATCTGTACATTAACCTCACTTTCAGGTTTCTGAGACAAGTGCTTGTGACCATCCACAAGAACTTGCAGTCATCCGATGTTCAGTACTTCAGTACTTTGATTATTATTTTATTATTGCTATATCACAACCACCTTGTTGGTCTGTCTGTTTGTCCAACAAATTTTTGTACCCCCTCCACTTACGGAGGGCGTAGTTTACTGTTTTACCCCCTATCTGCAGGTTCCATTAGATTTCCATTAAATATTTCTTACAGACCACAAATTATAACTTCCTGAAACTTTGTATCAGGCCTTTCCCCCTCTGTCATTGTTCATTGATTTGGAACTTTTGCATGGTTTACATGCTAAAAGTTTGTAATTAGATCAGTTTAATAGGAAACCACTTATGATAAGTTAATGATATTTGGTATGTAGTTGTATTACCATTGGAATATCTTATTTCCAAAGGGCAATATAATTTCCCTGCAAACAATGAGAAATTTTTACTACCCTATATTTGGCACGTTTTCTGCAAGAAAGCTTCTGATGAAAAGTTCGTAAGAAAAGGTTCTGGTTAACTAACTGTTGACACATATGAGATAAGATAAGATATATTTTATTACCAATTAAGGGCCCACAAGGGGCATATAGAAAATACATGTATAAGGAAAAAGAACATTGATTAGCATTGATACATAGAATTTAAATACACAATTACAATACAATTAGACTGTGAAAAAGCCCTTGGTTTTAAGTATATAATATATTAATATGAGAAATAAATACATCTAACTCATATTGACTTGAATAAATTTTCCAACAGCATTTAGTACCTGATTGTCTTCACAGCTTAATAATTATATGAATTTTTGCTGATTGTCCAGTAAAGTAAAGTTTGGCATTTTATGGCAAACAAAGTCAAAGAGAGCATCTCTATCAGAGTTAAATTTTTCACATGAAGTTAAAAAATGGATTTCATCTTCAATACAGCCAGAGGAGCATTTTTTGCAAATTCTTTCATTTCGTGGAATATTTGAAAAACGGCCAAATTCTATTTGAAGCTTATGAGCAGATACACGTAATTTACAAATAACACACATATGTCTCCCCTGTTTGTATTTTTAGCTCACCTGGCCCAAAGAATCTTTTCTCATCACTTGGCTACCATTGTCCTTCGTCATCTGTTGTCCGTCTTCCTGAACTTTTACAAAAATCTTCTCTGAAACTACTTGATCAAATTTTACCAAACTGGCCAACATGGCTAAAAATAGATCATAAGGGTAGAATGCAAGTTTTGTCTATTAATCTGAAAACCGTTATAAAAAGAGAAATTCTTACAGCCAGCAGAAATGTTAAGAATGTTGAGCTCTACCAATTGTTCATTGACATCAAAACTGTCAAGATAACATCTTATAGGAGTTATTGCCCTTATATGACAAATTTACCATTTTTTAAAATTTTTGCCTATTATCTTGAAAACTGTAATAAAAATTTATAATAGACAGATAGAAACTTAAATAAGCATACACTGAACTGCAGTCAAGTTTAGCATTTGATAATTCATTGATAACATTCTGGCGTATCACAAACAAACAACTTGTAACGTCCCATTTCATTGGCCGAAAGATTCAAATACAACAACAATCGTAGTGTGCACGTGAATTGACACAGGTGACCGACAATGGAATGTACTATGTTTTACTACGAACGTAAACAGGTTTGTGTACTGCTGTGTTGTAACCTGATTTAAAAATAACAGGGTCGAAATATTATCCTTGTGATATTTTTTTATACGACCGCAAAAAAATTTTTGTGGTCGTATATTGGTATGACGTTGGCGTCGTCTTCGTCGTCGTCCGAAGACGCATTAGTTTTCGCACTCTAACTTTAGTTTAAGTGAATGGATCTCTATGAAATTTTACCATAAGGTTCAATACCACAAAAGGAAGGTGGGGATTGATTTTGGGGGTTATGGTACCAACAGTTAAGGAATTAGGGGCCAAAAAGGGGCCAAAAATAAGCATTTTCTAGTTTCCAGACAATAACTGTGGAACGGTGTATGGATCTCTCTGAAATTATACTAGAAGTTTCCATACCACAAAGGGATGGTTAGGATTTGCTTTGGGGGGTTATGGCTCAAACCGTTTAAGAATTAGGGGCAAAAAAGGGGGAAAAACAAGGTTGTCCTGGTTAATGGACAAATACTTTAGTACAAAACATAATTTAAAGCAGTGTAAGGGAGATAAATCAAATTCATCATTGAAATTATCTCCCTTACACTGCTTTTAAATTATGTATAAAGTAATGGTTAATGAACAATTAAGATAATTTAAAACAGTGTAAGGGAGGTAATCTAAATACAACATTTTGGTTACTTCCCTTACACTGCTTTTAAATTATGTTTAAATAAATGCATATTTACAAAGGAAGACCAGTAAAAATATCTGCAAATGTTGCATCTTTTTTTTTTACAACAAAATCCATATGAAAGATTTGACACTATATTTTAAATTCTATTATAAAATAGATTAAGTTAGCACTATGGTAGATTTAAATGGGTAATTATAGTTGCAAACTCCATTGGAAATTTGAATTGAGATTATGACCATATCTTGAGGGAAAGAATTTTTTTGGGGAAAAAGGGGGGGGGGGGGGGGGGGGGGGGTTTAAAGAAATTGTGGGGGGTCAATTTTTTCTCATTTCAGATTTCAGAAATTAAAAAGAATTATTCTTCAAATATTATTTTTTTTTCAAATTTCAGATATTGAAAAATTTCAAAAAGTAATCTTTAATTGGACAGTATGCGCATTAGATTTGTAAAATCTTTGACCACATTTATTTATTTGTTATGCCGAATCTAACCGTGTATTTAGATTTTTAATTTTGGGTCCAGTTTTCAAATTGGTCTACATTAAGGTCCAAAGGGTCCAAAATTAAACTTTGTTTGATTTTAACAAAAATTGAATATATGGGGTTCTTTGATATGCTGAATCTAAACATGTATTTAGATTTTTGATTTTTGGCCCAGTTTTCAAGTTGGTCCAAATTGGGGTCCAAAATTAAACTTTGTTTGATTTCAACAAAAATTGAATATATGGGGTTCTTTGATATGCTGAATCTAACCATGTATTTAGATTTTTTATTTGTGGACCCCGCTATCAAATTGGTTCATATTGAGGTCAAAAGGGTCCAAAATTAAGCTTTGTTTGATTTCAACAAAAATTGAATATATGTGGTTATTTGATATGCTGAATCTAACCATGTATTTAGATTTTTGATATTTGGGCCCCGTTATCAACTTTGTCCACATTGAGGTCAAAAGGGTCCAAAATTAAACTTAGTTTGATTTTAACAAAAATTGAATTCTTGGGGTTCTTTGATATGCTGAATCTAAAAATGTGTTTAGATTTTTGATAATGGGCCCAGTTTTCAAGTTGGTCCAAGTTGGGGTCCAAAATTAAACTTTGTTTGATTTTAACAAAAATTGAATATATGGGGTTCTTTGATATGCTGAATCTAAACATGTATTTAGATTTTAGATTTTTGGCCCAGTTTTCAAGTTGGTCCAAATTGGGGTCCAAAATTAAACTTTGTTTGATTTCAACAAAAATTGAATATATGGGGTTCTTTGATATGCTGAATCTAACCATGTATTTAGATTTTTTATTTGTGGACCCCGCTATCAAATTGGTTCATATTGAGGTCAAAAGGGTCCAAAATTAAGCTTTGTTTGATTTCAACAA